AGATAATCCAAGGAAAAATGACAGAATGAGGGTGTAGAGTACAAGAAGCCTGGATTAGAAGGATATGCACAATGAAATAATGATTGATTGGGATGGGAATTGAACAATTGGACCCATCTAGACATTGATGGAGCAAATATAAAACTTGAGGATAGGATTGTGCTGTACCTCGTAAGCAAATATGCGAAACAAGGGCGAGATTGATACGAAATCACGTCACGATGAACATGACTGCACATGCAGGTCCAAACCAAAAGCAGGGCCGTCGGGTCCCATCCCCATTAAAGGTCATGTACTAGAGAAAGGTCTGTGAATGATCATGTGTATTCTGCAACATCCTATGAACTTTGCTCCGAATATGCAATGTCTATATGTTTAGGAAAGAAAGCATATGAACGACCAAGTAAACAGAGTACAACAGAAGATAATATGACTTCATAGAAGGGCCGATTGTGAGATTTCACATCGGTTGGGGAGGAGAACGAAACACTACCCTTTATAAGGTTGTAGAAACCTCTCCCTAGTAGACGCGTTTTAAAAACCTTGAGTGAAAGTCCAAAAAGAATAATATCTACTAGCGGTGAGCTTGGACCGACAATTAAGACAGTACCCTCTATTAAAACAGAATATTCGATCATTACATTTAAATCTGACCGACGAAAAAGCCACCTTAGCTGTTAGGACTTGGACAGACAAACAAGAGGTACCCTATTAAAGTTTCTATTAGCAAATTAAACGTATTGAACAATGCTTACATCTCACGTCTGCCTGATTAGTTGATAAGTTTCATACTACTGTTAGAATTAGAAAACTAGCAGTCTAGCCTTGAGTTGTCCAGGCCTGGATAATTATGCAAAGGGCTAATAATTTACAACTCACTATGAAGCAGCAACATGAAAACCTTATTCAAGATAACATTCCATAGGAAATCTAGATCACTTCTTTATGAAGATCATAAAAAGTAACCAAATTTAGGAACGTAAAAGATCCTAAATTTGTTCAAACCAAACAAGAAAGATCAAAAATACAATTTATGATACCATCCTTTAATCTTGGTTGAGTAAGGAATAGAAAAAGAACGAAATCGTATACATATATAAAAAGACCTCCAAAGGGTAAAAGGTTATATGACCAAATGAGAAGGCTAAAAGAGAATATTCAACTTCAAAAGTACATAATATAGCCAAAAGGCTAAATATTAACTAGGAGAAGCGAAAACGTCGAACGCCCTAAAGCCAGTGATGTAAGCTCCAGATTAAAGTTATTAAGAAAGGAGCTATATCCTAAAGGATAAGGACTAAATATCAGAGCACCAGTTATTTGTAATGGAAGGACAAACATGTCTTTTAACACGAAAAAAAACTCGAAGGACGTGCGAAGATACACTGCATTTCAAAAGCTTGGCAGCTCAGCGGGAAGTACTGCAAGATTTCAAACCATAAATGAATAAACGATGAAATATAATGGTTGATGTTGCTCCTAGTCTTTAGGAAATAATCTTGATGAAGCTGTATAAAAGGTTTTGCAACTATTAATAAAGAGATGGACACTCGACGTACCAACAATTGAAGGTCACCATTATCTCAAATGAACCAAATTTTAGGTTGTTGTTTCTTACTTTCTTTAGTTCACATGACAGAAAATCAGTATTAGAAATTATCACCCTTCTCGTAACCTTACTGTATTGTTAAGTGACTCCTTAATAAAGTACCATGAAGTTCTTGTATACTGCAACAAGTTGAGCATTTTGATTCAATTTTCCACTTGATGGGATTGGAACGTGGTTTCTCCATTGATTGCTCTCATTTGGATGTGATCTCCGTTTATTCATATGCCCCTCTTTTACTTGGGTGCACATGCCCACCAATTTCTGTCTTGGTTCGTCTTTGAATTACATCTTACTAGGAGAGTTATAGCTCCGATACCATTCTATCACGACTCAGGTCTATGATTCAAAATCCAGATTTGGCACATGATGGCCCCAACATTCTTCTGCGACATGGTCACATTACTTATCTCTTGCTTCTAAGAGGGAAGACTATCTCTATAGACAAACATGAGTCCTTTTAGCATGTTTTGTCCTCACTCACGTGTTTCCTGAGAAAATTTCCCGCATGTCACCTAACATAGAATTAATCCAAGCAAAGCACACCTAACTTTAGAGTTTCTATGGTTAAGTTACCAAAAAGAAAGGTGCACTTTGTTGGTATAGGTGGTAACTTTCTATTCTTTTAAGCCTTTCTTAGTCATCGTATCCTTAGTGTTCCTCTCATTTTGATTGGTCTCAGTTCGTTCATGTATTCCTCATTTACTTGGGAGTCACATGTCCATCAGCTTCTAACTCGGTTTGTCCTCGAACATTATTTTATTGGGAGAGGTACCGCATTGATACCATTCGATCACGACCCATGTCCAGGATTAGAAATTCAAATTTGGCACATGATGGCCCTAGCATTCCCTTGCAACATGGTCATATTACTTACTCCTTGCATCTAAGACGGAAAACTATCCCTATAGACCAATACAAGTTCTTTCAACATGTTTTGTCCTCATTCATCCGCTTCTTAGAAAAATTCTCAGGTCACCTAACATAAAATTGCTCCAAACAAAGCACGCCTAATTAGCTTTGAGGTTCCTATAATTGAACTACCAAAAAGGAAAGTGCACCTTGTTGGTACAGATAGTAACTTTCAATTCTTTTAAGCATTTCTTAGTCATCTTATCCTTAAGATCGCTTTCATTCGGATGTGGTCTCAGTTCATTCATGTACCCCTCCTTTACTCAAGTGTTACAATGAAGTTCTTGTATACTGCAACCTTGAGCATTTTGATTCAATTTTCCACTCAATGGGATTGGATAGCTTCCTATGTGGTTTCTCCATGAGATGCACACAGAAATACATGTTATCTGAATATATGCCAAGTAACCACTGGCTTGTAAACTCATGCATACTTCCTACCATAACAAAGTTGAAAACTGTCAACAATTACATCCTATTTCATGCATTGGTTTCTTAAAATTGTCGCCAATATGTGTCTAAGTGCATGCCTATCATCCTCTGGATAGAGAATACCGAGTGTCTCAGGAGAGAGATGGGCAAGGCAGGAAGTTGACAGAACTACCCCTGGACAAAATTGTGTCTCTCTCCCATGGTTTCCTAGTCTATGAGAAACCCAAAACCTTATCAAAGCCACAAAAAATATCTGAGCACTTGATTTCTTCAACCTTATTTTGTTTTCTACGCAGCAATCTGAGCTTCCAAGTACAAAAAAAAAAAAAAAAAAAAAAAAAA